CTAGCATTGTGTACTCTGACAGTGACTTCCCAGGGTCTCAGGCCGATGTTTAACATCACCTGCCACTTGGACTTTTAAATGAAGATGACAGGCATTAGATCTGGGAGTTTTTGCACACAAATCATAAAGTCTTACAAGTAAACTATGGCTATTCCCTTAGTCCGAAGTTGTGTTGCCAAAGAGTTGTCCTGTGGAGCCAGACTTGGATTGCTTCTGCTGCAAGAGCGACACACTCCTCTCAAAGTCCACTTTGATGGCGACTGTCCAATAAGCATCAAAGTTGCCATTGACCTGAGTTAGTTACCTCGATGGTACAGCAGTGGTTTTCTAAGATCAGGATAAGGTTTTTTCCAGCTGTTTCTTGAAAACTATCTTCTGTTATAGAATGATCCAAAGCCCTTCTGCATACACAGCCCTTTGTTGAACCACTGAGCTATTCTCCCATCTAGGCCTTGATGATCAGTTCTTTGAATGCCTCAATTAGATGTGGCAAATCCAAGCAATCAGAAGAAAGAAACAAGGACAAGAGGTAATAATTTTCTATTAGGTTGGGTTGGGAACTACTCAACCTAAGAAGATGCTGATTGGAAAAGCAGGGAAACTCAATACCTTAAGAGGAATTTGATTTATGTGTTTTGGGGTCAATACACATTGGAAGAAAACTGCATTTGCAAAAAAAAAATTAAAAAACCTTCAGACTAGAAGCACAACTATTCACATTCTGAAAATTCTGCAGCTATGTTGACTTCTTGTGGATAGCCATAAAATACGGAATCATAGTGAATCCACACTTAATTCCATATTTCCTCTCATGGAATGATTGCAAGGATCATATTCTTGCCAAGAGAAGTTTGTGAATATAGCATACATTGTTGAATGCTTTCTGGAAAATGGATGACCTAATAAGCTTTGATTAGGCCTAATGCAACTTGGTAAATTAGTTGCTGATAGGATAAAACTAGATAGGCAAAGTCACGACTGTGATGGCCAGCAAAGCTGATGAGTGATGATAGTAGTAGTCCAGCACCTCTGGAAGGTACCAGCTTAAAGAAGGCTGATATAGGGAAATGGAACTATAAACAGTCCTAATTTTTATGAGAACTAATTTAAGAGGAAATACACTGAGCTATCTGAACATTAGAGCTCAGTAGAGTGTCTTCAGTGGACAGCTTTAACACAATTTCTTTCTGTGATCCTAGAATAGCATTGGATGGGTGAAAAGAGGGTGAAGAGAAGGGAGTTTAAACAATAGTATGTAAAGCTCCAAGTCAACAAATGTTGGGCTAGAGACATTGGGATTAGGATGCGGTAGTCCCATTCCTTAGCTGTGCCATTTCCATATCTTTTCTATTTCCCATCTTTACTGAACCCTTACAGTGAAAATGGTGCTTTAATTATAATGCCCTGGAATAATCTCATACCTCTTCTGCAATGGTTCATTCCTCTGTTTACTTTTCCATGTCCTTCCTGCTGGCTACCACTATACATACATCCCTAGGTTCATTTAGTAATGAATCAGTTGTCCAGAAAACTACTGAAAGATAAAATGATTTTGCAGTTTCCTGACCTGAGTGCTCTTTCTGCCTGAAGGGGGAATTGCTGCTTGGATCCATCCATCCACTCCACCATTATCCCTTTTTCGTTGTCTTGTCCCAGAACACATAGCGCTCGGTGGCTGTCCCAGACTGTACAGAGTTCTCAGGGTTTCTTCTATATCATGTTGAAAATGAAAGAGGCAGCTCTTGCATGTGTTTCAAGGCTAGGGAGATTTGGACTCTGGTGGTGGTGGGGGAGGGGGAGACCTGGGAAATGGGGCCTCCAGATTTCGAGATGGAAGGGGCAGGAGGGTCTATCTCAAAGCCATCTTCTCTTCAGGCAGATATTGGGAATAGCACGGTCTCTAATGGCTGGGAGGGGGCGTGGAAGAGGAGCCAGATGAGCCTGGTACAATTGACCCCATGGCACGGCATCAGGAGAGAAGGGCTAGCCAACTAGAGGGCGGCATACAGCCAAGAGCTGGCCCTTCTCCAGGGGGTGCATTGTCAAAAGGAGGGTTCTCGGGGCTAGTTTCTACTGTGGATTCAACAAACTGCTCTGTGCATGCTCAAAGATGCCTTTGCTGATTATGCTTGGCTGGATGTACATTGGAAAACAATGGTCTTTTGGAAGGGGAAACCTAGCTCTCAACAACTTGAAATTAGGAGGCCCCATTTCCCAGGGCTGCTTCTTCTCCCCCTCTGAAGAGCCCAAGTTTCCCTGGCCTTGAAACATGCACCAAGACCCTCTACATCTTTCATTTACAACATATCAGATGGCAATCTAAAGGGAACTCGTTATTTTTAATGCTAGAATTTTTATGAGCTTTATTGCAATTTAATGTTTTCATCAATTTTAACTGAGCCACTTTGAATGCCTTATTTTGATAGAAAGGCAGGGTACAAATCAATTATTAAGGTGATCAATTGTCTTACAGTATTGGCACCTATATGTAACCTAACATTTTCATGATCATTAGCCTCCAGACTGTGATTAACCTGATCTGTCCTTTTTATCTCCCTTGCTGTTGTAATCCACACTTAGTCCAGTGCAGGGAAAATCTAAGCTGCTGTTCCCAGATCAGCACCCTGTGAATTCTGTGCCACACAAATATCACCACTGCCCCTGCCTACAAGGAAATTCAAATTCAGCAAGTGAAAGCTGCAGATTCTGTGCATGAAATTCTTTATTCAAAGTACAAGATTATATGGATACCTATTCCACCAGGGGTTTGTTTATGTTTTGGAATGTCTATTTGGGGAATACAAGAAATTTTTTGGGGTTGCAGAGGAGCAGAACAAAAGGCAGAAGACTGGTACAGAATGACATGTGGGGTGAGAGTAGAAAATTATTCAGAAGCTGCTTCTGCTGCTGTTACACTGGCCTGATCCCTCCATATCTGACAAATGAATGGGAAAGATTCCTGTGTGATAGCAACTGAAGCAAATCCAATATTGATTTCTGCTGGCGGCTTGCTCACTTCCCAGTCCCATACACTACTGGCTACGTATATGGCAAGGAGTAACTATTCCGCTAGCGTTTGCCACACCAATCAGTTGTTAGTAGTGGTGCAGCCATGCTGCAGCAGTTTCTGTGTCACCTTCATTAACATAAGCAGTAGCGCTCAGCCTTGGAGACTGCAAAAATTCTTTAAGTAGCCAGACAGTAACAGACTCTCAAGTGATGCAGCTAAGGGTTGCAGTTGCAACACCTAGTTATAATTTCTTCAGCTGTTTTAGGTGAGGTGCCAAAAGACCTGTCCACAATCTTCAGTGAAGTGACTTCCAGGTGCAACACAAATGGAAGGTCCAAGTTGGTAGGGAAGGAAATATAAGTGCCTTATTAGGTGTAGCAGGTGATTTCTAACCTCTACACCAGAGCCTGCAGCTGGCTAAAAACAAAAACTTGACTGCCAGATTATCTGATGAGGAGCTCAGTTTGACATACTAGCACATGACCTACTGGAAGACTGCTCAGAAACAGCTCACAGAAATGCTGTGAAGTAATGGGCAGCAATTGTCAAAGAGTAAGGGAAGTTGAATACACAAATCCCTGGAGATCGGCTCAATTGGTTCCTAACAGTCTGGTCCCCAAGATTTATAGGTTTTCTGGACATCGGATTCCTGAGGGATCTTCCTGCAGAATGAGTGTCATCATCATCTGGATGTGTTCCTCCCTCTTTCATCTTCCTTCCCTGTTTTGATCACACCTCTCATCCTACGTACCTCCATTCAGTGACATCTACTTAACAAACCCCAAAGACCCTGACTGTCTAACCCCATTTCCATTGGTCTGCAGCCTACCTCAGCTAATGCACTAGCTGGTCAAGCCCACCCTGAGCATCTTGTGTGATCTCCAGTCCACGGCCTTGGCTCAGAGGAATGGCACATGGCCCATAGTCTGTCAATTTCATTTCTTTCTTTTCTAAAGGATGCACCCATTTTTGCACCAAGAGCCCACAATCTGGATCTCTCCCTGTAGAGCAATCTATACCAGAGCTATGAATGAGTCTCAATGTGTTCTCTGTGGATGCCTTTGCACTGTGCTGTGGTGCATGCTGCACGCTCCTTTTGCATGCTTCTAGTCTTGCACGTTTGACATATCTTGCTCCGTTGGATGGTTGCAGTGCACTTTCCTTGGACCCCATTCCTTTATCACTGCTGTCTCCTGCTATCTTGGAAAGATGGGATTTTTGTTTTGTTTTGGTTTTTTCTTTCTTTTACATTTTTAAACTTTAATATATAGATGAAGAATGAGCTCTCTTGGGGAGAATTCTGTGAAAGGTAGGAAGTAGACTTTAACAGGGAATCACTCAGAAAATAAGAGATAATGTTACATGAGGTCTGGGAGGGTAGAGCACATAGGACATACTAGGATTCCTGGGTTTTATCAACCACTGTGAGAGGAGCCCAACCAAAGATCTCAAATTTCTGATAGGACAGAACAGGGGCCTAGAAACTGCCTCTCAGCTCTGCTACAAACACCATAATGGTCTTTTTGCAGAGGCATTTAGGGAATAATCTTCAAATCATTGTCAAAAAAGTTGAAAATCTAGACCACTCCTAGCCATGTATATTTGAAAGTAAATCCCAGTTAATTCAGTGGGATGAACTTTCAAGCAGCATACTTAGGGGTGCAATGTTAATTTACATAATTATTCTTAGCCATGTCATTTAGCAACCAATGCAAAAACTATGACATTCATGTGTAGAAGTCATTAGGCTACAGAAAAGTGAGTTGGAACCAGACCTAAGTGTCCAACTGGCTATTAAAATTTTTGCATTGGCTGTTGATCCTCATGACTTTGGGTAGGAGCAGACTGCAGATGTCAAGCCGCAAGGAAAGAAGAGAGAAAGAAAGATGTGAGCTTAGAATTCTCCCCAGGGCTCTTACATTCCTCTTTGCATGACAAGCTGGGGAGTGGGAGTTTGTAAGATGACACCTTTCTGCTTGGATTTCTACAGAGACTACTTCGTATGGACCTGCCTGTGGCAGACGACAATACAGTCCATTTCAATTCCACCCTCATGGCATTGATCCGGACTGCACTTGACATCAAGATTGCCAAAGGCAAGTGCCATTGCCGTACACCCAGCAAGGGAAAACAGTTTCTTTCCTGACAGGTTAGAGAATTCTGGGAAAGCGAGACTGAATATAGCACAGCACATTCTAAGTGACTGTAGCATCTGCTAGATGAGATACGTTGAACTGAAACAGGGACACAAATGTTCAGGCAGAGACAAGGCTTCTGGGACCAGATATGCCCATACAGGGAAGGTCCCAACAATTCAAATACTAGATTCTGCTAAGATGCTAATATTAAAGACACATCAGAAAGAGCACTTATTGCTTTAAACATACATAAATGTTCAGTGTAAGTGAAATATGCTTGCTATTATTAAAAGTTTCACAAACCTTCCTCCTGACTCCCTAGTTGGAGTTCTGCTTATACTTTGCTGTAGTAGTCTGTCTCAGTCTTTGTCAGTGTGAATTCCACACCTCTCCCTAAGACTCTTTCTTGCATGTAAAAAAATTAGGATGTCAGATGTTAAAATCCTACTTTCTGACAAGTTGGCTTTCTACGTATGGAGATATTTTGAAATGAAGAACAAACATTGCCCACCTACCATATTAAGTGTTATGGTTAGGGGAGATTTTATTATTTTTTTAAATGTGGTTATCAACTCTGATAATAGAGAAGCTGTAACAGCATCTTTTTAAAAAACATCATTCAGTATTGACCATTTGTAAACACAATCCAAGCAAAAAAGAATATGTTTTAATATTTTAGGGTAAGGGGTGGATGTCAGATGTCCATGTGTGTGTTAGCTATCTTTCATTCATGCTTTCTAGGTGGGGCTGACAAACAACAGATGGATGCTGAGCTGAGGAAGGAGATGATGGCAATTTGGCCCAACCTCTCCCAGAAAACTCTGGATCTCCTGGTCACCCCTCATAAATGTAAGCACCATCTTTTACTGCCCCTAGCAATGATGGAGAGAGCCATACCCGTTCCACATTAATATATGCATGTTATACCTAAATGGCATCAGGTATGGTAAGTGGCAGGCACCACTAACGTCATCCCTGTTCAGATCTGGTACAACCCATGGAGGCAGGAGCACATGATACACTGGCAGAGTTATGTTACCTAAGATGTGTGAGAATTGCCCATTCCTATCTATACATTTGCTTCCATCTGTGAACAGGAATTGAACTGACATCAAATTTAATAAAAGAATACCACACACAAGATTTGCTTATGAACTACCTTAACTGAAAGTGCCAAGCAAAGTAGTCAGAAGACAATAGAAATGCAAAGATTATTTTAAAGAGCAACTTTCAAACCCAGTGCCTTGCCTCCATTATTTAAACTTTCCCAGAACTTGCTGCACTTCCAAGTCTTCATCTGCCTCCTCATTGTTCTGAATTGAAAACTCTGTTTTGATACTATTTTTTTGCAAATCCAGGCTGTTTTGCATTAACTTTATTATGAACTATAGAAATATTTATTACTTCTTTCCAAGAGATTATTTCTATTTAGCTAATAAACTTCTGACCTCTTCTAATTTAAATCATTGTATTCTTAAAGTTTAATTTTCTCTCAGTCCTACTTGAGAAATAAAAATACTGAGATGCACATGAGCACCTTTAAATTTGTTTGTTGTTGCTATTTTTAAAAAGATAAGGCAATACAAAACTTCATTAGGTGAAAGGGTTACAGTATGAATCAGGAGAGTGAGTGAATCTGATGAAATCAGAGTGATTTCAACTCCTATTTTCCTATTGTCCCTTAATATCTACAACATCTTTCATAAGTCAAGATCAAAATAGAAGATATTCATTTTCTTTGTTGCACCTTATAGTTTCTGGATCATATCTTAGATTTGTGCAGATTGACCCAATCTTGAAAATCAATACCTAAACAGATCAAACCCATTTTAATTACTTTCAGGAAATCCTCTTGCGTGAAAGCATCATCTGGCCCTACGTAGCTCAACAGAATAAAAAATGACTGTGTATGTTGGCCATAAGGATGTGTTTAGACCTTATGTTACCCCTGTGGCAAATGAAATTATAATTTGATCAAATTATAATTTGATCCACTATGCAAGTAGAATTAGTAGGATCTTGTGAGGTGATTCTCTCCACGTGTCAGGGAGGCATTCTGCCACTCTTAGTCCGTAATTCATTTTAGTCTCCGTTTTTTAGAACACCACCTTGCCATTGCTGCATCACTGCTCTCTCTGCTGCTGTCACCATCTTTAGGGCTTCCTCCAGTCCCTGCTGAAGCCTCATGTTGAGAAGCCTGTTGGGCCACTCCTGGCTTTGGATGGGTCACACTGCTGACTTCCCACTGAAGTTCTGTACAACAGAGATCACGAAAAACAGTTCCACTGTACACCCTGTCTTGCTCTGTGTTGAGGAAGGTGGAGAGAGGCCCTGCCTCGAAAACAGCAGTTTAATCCAAAGCATCCCTTTGGCCGTTGTCCTATTCTTAGGGAAGAAGAGCAATATGGAGCTCTAAAGCCCACTAGGACAGGGATGGGTAAATGTAAATTTTGCTCCCTAGAATCCCGCCCTCTTGCAGACTGCACTGGGGTGGGGGGCGATGGAATGTGGCTTGCCACTGACATTCGGCAGTAAGCCACTGCAGTGCTGCAGAGCACAGAAAGGGTTAGAGTTCTTGTAGCTTGTTTGCAAACTGAATTTAATTCCTTGGCACTCTGTCATGCTAAATAAGCCATTTAGATTGTCCAGGGCAGCAGGGACCATGTCAAGGTGCAGAGAAGTCCACATCCAGCCCACAGGCCACATGATACCTCTTCCTACTCTAGAATATGCTCCCCACTTGGACTGTTGTCTATAGGAAAGAATAGATTCTGAAGAGCTTCACTTCCACACTGCTGTTACTCACTCAGTTGGGCAGCTGGAGAGCCCTCTTCTGGGAGGAACCCAGGTAATTCTAGTGCTTTCCCAAAAGGTAAAGGGCAGGAATGAAGCAGCATGTGTGGAAATCCATTTCCCTGTGTTGCCACTGATCTCTACCTCTTACGACTTCAGAAAAATAACCCCCAGATGAAGCCCATGTTCCATGGTAATTTACCATGCAGTGGTTGACAGTAACAGCTTGAATTTGCAAATGTCCCCGGAGACATGTACCTGGACTGCCACTCAGAAAGACCTTGGCAGACTGAGTTTTTTTGCAGACCCCACCCCCATCATAGAAGACCCCTCTCCCAAGGCCAAGAGTCTTTACTTTGGGTAAAGCCAAGAAAATAGTATGCTGGAGCAAGTTTTAAATTGCCTTTCTGCTTTTCTCTTTCTGCAGCTACTGATCTGACAGTGGGTAAAATCTATGCAGCCATGATGATCATGGAATATTACCGCCAAAGTAAGGCCAAGAAGTTGCAGGCCATGCGGGAGGAGCAGGTACACGAGGGCTATAAAATGTGATTTGAGAAAGTTCTCTTGGTTCTCATCTCTGAGATGTTGAACGACTCCTTTGTCGAAGCAGTAAACCTGGTTTGCACCAAACCCTGAACTCATATTTCAAGAAAGAAAGCTATAAAAGTCAAGATTCTCTGCAAGTGGGTCAGTCCAGTCCTAAGTGACTGTGTATGTGTGTGTTATATAGTGCAATTTATATAGCATGCCTGGAGTACAACACCTCTTAGACAATCTCACAGTGGACAATTTAATACTGCCCTACAAAATTGGAGAGAAACCTCAATCAGATTTATCATGAACATCCATAGTGATTGCTTTCTTCTATATTGTGTCCTAATTTAGATTAGTGGTGTGAACTTCCACAAATATCTCCACTATACATTTGATATCAGGTCACATGTGGATAGCAGAAATTATACATACATACATACATTCATACATACATAATCAATGCTTCTTTAGAGATGGTTTGGTTCATCTCCCTAGGAGACAGGATGCTTTCACTCTTCCATAAACATGATTGGTCAGGACCATACGCAGTAGAAATGAAATATGCATAGCTGGAAGCAGAATTCAGGAAAGACTCTGACCAAATGCAATTCCTTGCTCACAGAAACCATATAAAAGTCATATTGATTTTCGTTTTGCAGTGACTTGCAAAGCAAGACCAGTATCTTCAGAATGACTAAGCTAGCAGGTTAATAGAGATCAAATGCATTGTGTGTTGCTGACAGCTTCTCAGATGGTCTGACTTGAGGAAACAAGGCAGTTTGATAGCTGCAAATATTATTTTATGCTATTTTAATAGCTTAAGATACTGTCATTCTATGTTTTCCTGTAGAATCGGACACCGCTTATGTTCCAGCGCATGGAACCACCATCCCCATCCCAGGAGGGTGGCCAAGGACAGAATGCCCTCCCTTCATCACAACTGGATCAAGGAAGTGGAATGTGAGTCTTACTTGATATACCTTCCAGTATCCTCTATTTTAAATGACACCTCCTCAGAGACATAGAATACTCTGGATGAGATACCTTTTTAAAAAAATTACCACCATTCTGTAGAAACTTGCCCCCTCCCCAGCATCACACATTATGTATATTAAATATTTTCTACTAATATATTTTATACCTCCCTTCAATATAAAAAGAAATAATGTTCCTAGAGATGCCAGAAACAACAAAAAGGAGCTCTGTTGACCTGCCCTAGTCTGAAAATGAGCATTTCTGTTTATTTTCCATGCTTATTTCAAGAGCCATAAGTTTCTCTTATGCTAGAAATCTGTTCTTCCAGTTCAACAGAACTAGCAGAGGTGCAACAGCACTATATATCAACTTGTATATTTCGATTCTGATTTGATTTCTTAGGTTCCCCCCTCCTGTTTACTTGGATGTAAAATACACTGCAACCACAGCTCCTGGCTCAGTTTACTTTGCTGGGAAACTCCAGGTCTAGAATAGAAAGGAATTTGCTGAAGTGCCAGAGGATGAAGTTATTGTTGTAGACTCGCCTTCTAACAACACAGTATTGATTCTCTGTGTTACCTGTGTTTGGCTTGGTGCGCTGCTTGGTGCTGTGCAGCAACTTCAGAGAATCAGAACTGGGAGGGACCTTGGAGGCCATCTGATTCAGCTCCCAGCTTGGTGCATGATTTTGTTGGCATCTGATTTTCTGTCTACCTCCAGGAGCATGCAGGAAGGAGGAATGAAGGAAAGTGAGTCGTGGGTTACACAACGAGCACAGGAGATGTTCCAGAAAACTGGAACCTGGAGCCCAGAGCGGGGGCGCCCAGAAGAGATACCCAATAGCCGGACCAATTCCCAGGTGGTTTGTGTGCCAGCAAGGTGTTTGGACTGGCACTTGCCTATCTCTCTTTCTCTCCATCTCTCTGACTTCCTCTTTTCTCTACCCTGATCCATCCTCCTATAACCTGTGTAAGGTCCTCTCATTAAAATCTAGTCATGCTTTGAGAATTTTAGAATTACAGAACAGTTGCTGAGGAAAGCCCAGTCCAAAAAGGCGAGAATGTGGGTTGAGCCTGTACAGATGGAGTTCCTGCTTGAGGTGAAACAAGAGTCAGACTCACAGCAACCCACATTTACTAAACCACCATGTGACCTATTTTAGGAAACTTTGGTAGCACAATAAATATGACCCGAGGTGCAAATTGTGACTATAGCAAAGCAGTCACATGACATTTTTGCAAGAAGTAGTTTGCACAACTTGCTTCTCACTTTGCTAATCTGGACATATAAATTCACCTCACCATGAAAAAAGAAAAACACTACCAAAATTGTGTGGACTTTTAATGGGTAACAACCTGATATGTTCTAATGGTGCATTGACTACTTCATCTCTTCTTATATATTGCATTGTTGGCGTATTGAATCATAGAATTGATTGTTCTTAAAAATGAGAAAGTTATTGATACATCATTAAAGTACAATTATTACTTATATGATTATTTTATTGTTGCACACTTCACACAGAATACCTGCTGGTATCCACAGACAGTGAAGATACTGAGCCTGGGGTGCTTCCAGGCAAAAGGTTTATATTGTGGAATCACCTTGCCTCATTCATGAAATGGTTGGCAGAACCCAGACAATCTTGTCTTCAATCTGTAACCTTCCCATGTTTTCTACTGCCTCTTCCTTTTTCTTTTTAACCAGAGGAGGTTAAAAAGAGGAGGGAAAGATTAAATAGCTGCACAATTATTTTGATTGGTAGCACTGGGAGGCATTCATCTTGAAGTGTTCCAGATTGGCTACTGATCTGATACACCTGTGAATAAGCTATGCAGGATGGGTTGCTCATGGAATCAACTCACAGTTCACCCCGTAGTCAATCAGGCTCACTTTAGGTTGCCCTCCACCTTCTCCCTTAGTCCTCCTGTGGGTATCCCAGAAGAAATAATGGCAAGAACCCTCTTGTCTGCCCCACTGCCATGATTGTGACCCCTTTTATTCTTACCATTGCTCCTGCCCCCCCCTTTTCTCATTGTTTGTTTTTTTGTTTGGAGAACATGAAAAGCAATCTCTAAACTGAGAGCTTGTGACACCCCCTTCAAGGTGCCCAAATGGCACATTTGAGATGCTATCACTGGTTCACCATCCCCTTTTAAATTTTTTACACCCTAATTTTTGCAAATTTGGGATCTGTTTGTAAGTCTATTTACACTTGCACAGATCTGAAATGACAGGCAATGTCCTGGAGGGTACCTGTTGTCCAAGTGCAGCAGGAATCTCTCCTGAGCATTGAACCAGAGAGGTTGTTGGGAGGTCTGCTTGTTTTAGTGTGATTTCTCTTGACAACTGTCAAAAGGCAAACTGTCAAGAGATATCAAAGATGTGAGTGATCTTTTTTCACAAAAGATCCCCCTTTTGTGTCGGGGGAGATCTAATTCTTGTCAGGTTTCCCTCACTTTTCCACCCTTTCTTCAGACTCTTATGCTTGAAAAAGTGGGAATGTGTAGGCTACTCCCTTCTGCAGGAGTACAGAGATTTGCCAGCTAGTTGTCAAAAGTTCAGTTCCTTTCAAAAGTGGTGCTTTTGGGGGATTGACAGGGTCTCCATAGCTCTTTTTCCTGAAGGGACATATATATAGTAATGCCTGCATTCATAGGGGGGAAATGACTCATTCTTCCTGTGATGCTCCTGTGGTGTCCTCTGGAGGACCAAGGGACGAGGAAGTGGTGAACAATGCATGGTGAGCCCAGTTGTCTGTCAGCCACATTACGGATAGCTTACATGACAACCAACCCACCACGGCTTATTACCCGTGAAGGGTTACCATGATGTGCAAACACTTTCAACATATTAAATGTATGTATGCATTCACTGTGTTTTGTTTTTACTTAAACAATTAGGGATACTGGAAGTCCAGTCTGGACCATGTTGTGTGAGGAAAGGAGTTCACCCTTTCCCCACAAGCTGCAATCTCTGTGAAAAACCTTCCTTGCATAGCTCTGTGATTTCCCTAAGGAAGAAGGCTACCATTGGTGCCAATCATAGCTTCCTCCCACAGCAAAAAGAAACCTGGAGGGGGATTGTTTTTACCACAATCACAGACCTTAGCCAAAGGCTTGATTCCCCTTCTCCCCATCTGATGGTGAAGCTGAAAACTGTTTTTAATTTAAAAATTAACCTGATCATTAATTCATAATGTGTCTCATCACTTGGTCCTCAGCCTGTGGGAGAACAAGACTTCTTCTCCAGCAAGAAAACAGGCAGCATCTTGGAACATTACTGTTCATTTTCCTTTCCTTGCATGTTTTTTGCCTGTACCAGCAGTGGAGAGAGGAGAATTTACTCCTAGCCAGTAGGCTTCTGCTATGTCCTCCTGGGAGCTCCAAGAATGGGGCAGAATGCTGCAGAATGGAGCAGCCGTACAAGAGTTTGTAGATCCTGAAATCTAGCTTGCCCATTCCCTGTGTAATGTATGGGTGGAAAATAGGTATACAATTGCTAAAGGCAGGGGAAATGAAATTCCGTGTAAGAGAAAAGCACTGAAACTACAAGAAGTTATCAATAGCCTGATGCCAGGAAGAGCTCAACTCTGATTCTAAGGTCTGCTGAGTTCCTTAATCTTTGGATGCTTGTTCCATGTCTGTCCCCCTCAGCTCTCCCCGTTATGGAAATGAGTAGTGTATCTTTCCATTTGGCTTCCCACGTGTACTGACCCCATTGTCTGCCTTACCTAATACAGTCTGTAGAGATGCGGGAGATGGCAAAGGATGGCTATTCAGACAGCGACCAGTACCTGCCCATGGAAGGTCATGGACGAGCTGCCTCAATGCCACGACTGCCTGCTGAAAACCAGGTGAGGGTTTTTTTATCCAACCCATGGGTCAGTTTTGTGGTCAGCTACCCTTTCCTGCACTCTCTTGCTCCTGGGGATAGCAGTAGTGCTCACTATTACACACACACACACACACACACACACACACACACACAAACACACAGAGCAAGGAGATAGCAATGCTGGACTTAGCTGAACTGATGCAAAGTGAAAGAATGTATGAGCCCCTCCTATTTCACCTGAGTTTTTTAGGGTATATATTAGATAAGAATTGTATGCTCTTCCCAGGAACAATTTCCGGCCTGTTAGCATATGCTGAAGGCTTTGCTTTCACACAGGAAATGAAAACAACTCCTTCCCACTCCTGAGCCAGACAAAGGTTTCACAGAAGTGCACCTGAACAAGCAACATTACCTGTTACCCATGAGGGACAGGAGAAGATGCAGCTCAGCATCTCCCCAGTAAGTGAAATTTGGGCCTAAATATCTTGTCAAGAGTTAATTGCACTCCCTTCTTGGATAAGTGATATTTCATCTACTGCATTATTTGCAAAGCAGTTTCTGACCCCAAAATATTTCCTGCTACCTCTTTAGAATTCCCTCATCCTACTCAGAAAGGATATGGAAAAAGAGATAGGGAGGGAAGAGCAACAGAACATAAGTTGCATGGATAAGAGACTGGTGCAAACTCCTACATCAGCTCTTTCCTCATTAATTTCAGCTACATTTTCTTTCCATGTTATGCCCTTTCCATTCATGGAAGATGCTTCCTTTTCCTGCCCAGGGACCCTTGGTTATTGCATAGTAGCTATGTGCTCTGTCCGATAATGTCTCGTCAGAAGAATGTCTTACATGTAAGCAGACACTATTTGGCATTGTGATTAGTTGGTTTACAATGTGGTGGAAAAATTAATAGTCAAGCACTCCAATTAACTGGGCAGTGACAACCCTACGAAGGCAACATTTTTGCTGTAGAAGGCATCTGCTATATTTGCAAAGCTACCTTGCCTGCAGCTTTTTGACTGTCAGTGCAATGGGTCCTCCCTTAAGCAGGGAAGTCCATGCATATTCTTGCAACACCCTGCTTTCTGGTACCCAGTTTGTATAAGAAGGCCAATTAGCCCAGCTAGACATCTGAGTAGCAACAAGACAGAAGTAGACAAGGGTGCAGATTAAATGTGGAAGTGCAGGCGTTCATCATAACAGTCCCCACTGCCCTGCCTCAATGGTAGGCAAAAATGCAAGCTTACGCATGTCTTTCTTTTGTGGTGCTAATATGTATTAATTTCCCATTCAGGGCCAAGCCACCCAAACTATTTTTAATTACAGCTATAGCTCATGGCAATATATTGTTTCTGGGAACATCCATCTTCCCAGCAGCTATTGTAAGGATTACAGCTAAGCTCACTGAGAACAGGGAATTCTGAGGAGGGTGTGAGAAAGCAGAATGTAGTCAAGGAGTCTTAGCACTTTGACTCTGTGAACCCTGGCTCCACTATACCACGGGAAATGGACATTTACTTCCAGCCTCATGGCAATCAGAATTACATAATGAGATAAAGGGGAGAGTAAATCTGCAGGCCTTTTACCCCTGCAGCTGCTCCCAGTCTAACTGAGATCATGAAGGTGCACCATGGTGCACGGCAGACATTTGGTGCCTAGATCATGTTGCTTTCAGTTTGCATCAGTAGCTAAAGCCCCAAAAGAGCAGCATTTGCTGCCATCCATACATGTTGACTCTCTAATTCATGTGTTAGCAGGCCAAGCTGGGTCCAGCCCCTCTGCACCCAAGAAGGAGTAAAATGTGGAGGTGGGGAGCAAGCTGTTTCTTTTAAGGAGCATAATGTGATTGACATGTGTTCAGTAATGGGATAAATCCTTCCCCAGGTATCCTTTGTGTGGTTGAAGGGGGAGAAATGGTACCTCTGTGTCAGGGGAAGAAGAAGGGGGTCCCAAGTAGGCATTTTGTGCCATACATTCCTGACAAGAGAACAAATCTCCCTATAAGACCTGGGGGTTGTAAATCTGTTTTTCTAGGATTTTGGCCTGGTGCCAACGCTGATCCATTGTGGTCGCACTCCTATTTGGTGCATCAGGGACAATCAATTCTTCCTGTCTGAGATGGCCTTGCTTTGAGGAACAATTTCTGCTGCCATGTTGCTTTGGCTGGGCTAGAATGTTATTTTGTTGGCCCATGGAGGGCTGTTTTGTGATGGTAGTGTTGTCCCATTCTTTGCTTTTCTAATGTGGAGGAAAAAGCTAAATAAAATGTGACATTGACCTCTCTGTGGCCTCTCACGGCACAGCTGCCATCAAAGCAAAGGCCATACCCTTCTGCAGCTATCGTCCAGCTAGTGACATTCGCTTTTTGATCTGGCATGACGCATGCTTTACAGCAGCAAGAATTTCTGGGGCTGTGGGATGCAGCCCCAGCAGCTGGTGTTGTGCAAGGTGGGAGGTGGACAGGGAATGATGGGTGAGTGGTGGGGATAAGTGCTCTTTGCTAAGCATGTGCCAAGCAGCAGTCGCTCTTAGCATGCTCCGCTGTGTAGCAGCATTTATTGCCATACCAACAGGCTAAGTGTATTCGTGCCTCTGTGTGTATGTGTGCAAGTGAGAGTTTGTGCATAGTTTTGAAGAAGATGTACACGATAGATATGCCAGTTGCAACATTTGTTGCAGAATTATGCCTTTCAATTCTGCCTAGTAGGGGTCAAATCTTAACTCGCAAGAATCTCTGTGATCACAGCTTGTTGAAAGTGTCAGCCATAGCCACTTCCCAGGAAAACACTGGTCTTGTCTTTACAGCAAAATCAATAACCATCCATCAGACTTCACCATCCTGGTGCCTCCCCTTTGTTGTGCTGGACTTCAGCTCCCCTTATCCCCAGTCATTGTAGCTCCCATTATCCCCAGTCAACACACGGGGGGGGGGGTAACACGATGGGATTTACCCCACATAGTCATCCCTCATTAAGGCTAAGCATCCTAGACAGTTTACTGTACAAGCTGCACTTCATTCTTGTGGATCCATTGCTCCTGGGTGTTCCCTAAGGAGGGCAATTTGGTGTCATCAACGCATTATCAACAAAGCAAGGACTTGGCAAAGCAGAAGCACTTTGATTCAACTTGGGCTATTGTTACTCCAATTCAGTGGTTTTCCAACTATTCCTGAGAACTCTGGGATTCTGCTGTGAGATCAGTAAAGGAAAACTGCTGGCCCACCACAGGTGATCTCTTGCAGTACGATCTTCAGGGGAGCTCTAGCTGTGTTCTGCAGTACACACTCAACCCATGTGGAGCCATGATGAGGCAGCCCAATTCGACTGGGAAGACCAACTACATGCACTGAGTACTCACTCTCCTGAATCCTTTGAGTGTTCAAGGATTCCTTGCCAAAGAGTCAATGTAGGAAGGGTTCTCTGACAATAGAAAACTTGAGACCTCCTGTTCTAAGTAGCAGAGCTTTGTGGCATACCTGGATAGGAGATGGAGACCTGTGGGCCTCCTATGGTGTAGAAGCAGCCCAGTGTTTCTGCTTGGCTCTCCTGTGCACAGCCTGCTCAACAGAAGAGGCAAAACCACTTCAAGGTAATGGAAGCATTTACTATGGATTGGAGAATGCAGATGCACAGCACGATCTTATACTTTAGATCTGAATTGTGGTGGTAGAATCGCTAAACACCCTGGCCACCATTTTATTTCATATCTTTGTTTTTTAAAAGTTTTGGGCTTTTACTCACTGCCAGACACTTGCCCACTGTGCCTGTTTGCTGTGGCACTGGACTATGAAGACCTACTGGGCAGTCTTGATCTAGCACCAGCAAAGCCAGCTTCTAGACTCGAGGATCTAAAGGATGATTTAGGATGGAAGCATGTTGATTTCAGCCCAGCTTGATCATGGGGCTACAGTGCAAAAAGAGAAAGCCTGTTTGTAAGGAAAGAAGCGAATGATGTTGGTTCTCTTTTACTCTTTTGCATGAGCTTTGCCTCTGATGATCAAACCTCAAAGTGACAGAAGGAATTAAAAGGGGATGAATCTGCTAAATGCTGCACAGCTACAGCCCAAAGTAAGGACAAGCTAGGACTTCCCAGAGCACTCCATCTCTGTCCCTTTCTATAGCTCTTCTGAGTGAAATGTGGTTATGGCCTAGAAAATGTGATCAACAGGAAATGGTTTGAATGGAAGTCTGTCTATTTACCTTCCCTGAAATAGGCAACATGTTCTCAATTCTCCTGTTCCCCAATCCACCATTTATAGGTATGTTTAATCCTGCTCCCTCCCTACAGGTTAGAGGCATGCCATTGTGTTTCTGAACAAAGTAAGTTTGATAACCACCATCAGGTTGATTTCTGATGAGAGGACATTTTGAAGTGCTCAGTGAGAGAATAGACAGACATTTGGGATCTGGTTATTATAATAATTTTGAGAGAACTGAAGGGGCAGAATGATCCCATAAGCAAGATCACAGGCTTCTGTCATTATAATAATTATAATATAATAGCAATAATATTATCATTACTATTTTAAAATATACTGCCTTTTGATGCAGGCAGGCCCCTGAATGGCTTTGCATATGAATTCTGTCCCCCTTCCCGCACCAAGCTACAGACATAACCAGTTATGATATAACTTTTCCATATATGTCTATGAATTAGGATCATCATTGAAAGACATTCCATGAGTTCCACAGGTAACCATGTAAGAGTCTCACTCCCTCCACTTGTTTCTGCTGGGCCTGCTGCACTGTCCACTGGATGTAACAAAGGAGAACATGAAGTAGTAAGAGAGCCCAGATATATATTCTTACTACTTCAGCCTAAGAAAACTAAAAGTGCCTAGCAGGCGCAAGAAGCTCTAGTAATATATGTTCTTGTTGGATTTGTTTTTATAGTGTTTAAAAAAACCTGCACTTAAGAATGTAAACAAGGTAATAGAGATAGCTTTTAAGCAGGGGTATGCAACATTTTCAGCCCCAGGGGCAGCATAGGGAGTCTGCTGTGGTGCCAGGGACCATACATGTGCACAAGCACATATATACACATATACAGAAACACATGCAGACAGTTCCCCCACCTCACCAGAAAGGGCCTACCTCCATTACTTCCCCCATTAATTAGCAAGGGAAACCTTTTCATTCTTACTTCCTTATCTCTCTCCCTCAGGTGGTCTGAGGTAGGGCAGGGGGTGTTGCCTTCTATTTTAGAGAGCCATAGGTCTGAGATAAGACATTCAAATCAGTTTAATTACAGGGTACTTCCACATGTTAATCCATCAGGCTGTGGTAGCAGGAAGACTAGAAGTATCTCATTAAAATAAAAATATACCACCTGTCCAGGGACCAAAACTACACCAATGTGTTCCCCAGCTCTGTGACCACCTGAGAAAAATCTTTTCCTTAATTCTTTCCTTACCCAACCCTAGACAGATACAGAGGCAAGAGCAGAGGAGGAGGAATGTGTCCTACCTTATAGAGTAAAATTCTCTGTTTGAAGGTGTCTTCTGTTTGAAGGGGTGTCCAGTCCACATCTGAAGCTGTCCAACAACTGTTAGAGGTAGGACAGCAAGCACACAATCGCATAGTCACAATCTTCCCCACAATGGGGAAATGAAATGCATTTCTATTTAAATGTTAGCAGTTATTTCTAAATTTGTTTCTCTCTATATAAATTGTTATTGTTGTTATTATTATTTATTACATTTCTGTACCACCTGTAGCCAAAACTCTCTGGATAGTTCACAACAACAGGATATAAAAACAGTAAAATACAATACATGAAGCAGCATTTAAAACATTTTTAAAACATTAATTGAAATACCATTAAAATACAACAAAAAGACCTGATCAAGAAGAAAGAAAAAGGGCATAAATGAACATATGCACATTTATGCAAATCTGTCATCTCCTTTTCTTCTTTGAGGGGAATGCATTTCTTTTTTGAACTGGCCACCTTGTACAAGCATAACAGCCTTTCTCACTATCCAAGGCTTATGGTGATTGACATAGTTCTGACAGAAAAGACAACTTTTATGTGATTCAAAGTCAATGTAAAAATCAAGCCACTGATGATCTACTTACAGAAGCCACCTCTCTAGAAAATACCCATGGTAGCAGTGCCTAACTGTAGGAATTGTTCCCAGTACGTCTGTGCGTCTAGTCCCTACACTACCATTCTCACCTACTTGATGAAAAAGACAGCAAGTTCCACTCATGACTCTCTTTCTGCCAAACATTCTTACTGGTGTGGTCAACATTATGTGGTTTCCATTAGGCTTCAGAGTTAGCATACCAAGACTCCCAAATGCTGCTTCCATCCAAACAAATGGGACTCTTGCCTGGGGTTTCCCAACCTTGGGATTCCCAACACCTTAGGCATCTCTAACTTAAAGAGTCCTTCTCTGCCTCTCCCCTAGCCAAACCCTGCTTAGGGCTATCCTTGCAGTCCCACCTTGTCTGAAGCACTGCGGGTTGGACTGGTAAGGCCAGAGCGGGGGAAATGCAGGAGTCCTGCAAATCAAGAAAGGCAGCTCTGTGTCTAGTGGGAGTGTCCCCATTTGGGCCGTGCACAATGTTGCAGCTTTTAACAGTGGCTGAGGGTTCCAGTGGCTGGGGCTTGTTGCCGCATGTGTGGGGGAAGGTGTGGGCCTCGCTGTTGCCTCTGCTGCTCTGCTCAGCTCAGCTCATCCCTTCTGAGAACTGTCTGTCCCTTTGTGGTGTCTATTTTTGTCTTTCGTGGTTGCCAGTAACAACCTTTTTTCTGAGGAGATGACCTTCCAGCACAGGCCTGAACTAGTCTTGTGCACAAGTGACCAGCATTAACCTGATTGTTCTCTCCTGACACTCCTCCCTTCAACCCGTTACCACATTCTGGTCCCTCTCCCCTCCCCTTGGCCCTATCTCCCCCTTTGCCTTTATATTTATTTCCTTCTCTTTCTCTCTTTCCCGTTTCTGTGTGCACCGTCTTGTATGGCTGCGACAGAGGAGGAAGGCGCGACCGCGAGGGAATAATCTCAGTGTATGTACTGCAGCCTGGGCTCCTGGCTCTGTGCGCTCGCCACCTCCAGTTCCCTCCCCCGGGATCCTCAGAATAGCAAGCTGACAACTCTATGTATTTATTTCCTTTTCCTCATGCTGGCTCTCTCTCTCTCCCTCTCTCTCTCCCCCCCCTCTCCCCCCCCACCTCATACTATGACCTCCCTGATTGCTTTTGCAGCATTAAATGCTGTAAAAGCAAAGACTTTCCAGCCATTTTATCCTCCTTATCTTGCCTTCACACATTTTTTTCTTTACACACTCATATATTCTTTATCTCTTCCCTCTACTGTCCACTCTCTCTGCTGCACACTAGCTTTTCCACTCTTGCCTCCTTTGTCTGTCATGTTAAGCTAGCTTCAGTGGGTACCCTACAGTTCTCTAAGCTCTCTAGGCCAGTGGAAGACTAGATTTTCTGTCAAAACACTTTAGGGAGGTTTATTTGACTAAGAGAGCCTTTAGGGCAAATGCAGCTTTGGTTTTCCCATACCCTGGTTTATTCTTCCCTATGTAAAAATAGCTTTATGTCATTCCAGAGCCAGCAGCCATCCCAACTAACCATAGCTCTACTTCTTCTGCTGCTATTCGCCTTCACCTGAAGGTACAAAGGAGCCCATCACTTCCCCTGCCTGGTCTTACCTCATGAATAACTAACTCTGCCTGTTGACCAGCTGTGTCCTCTTGTGGCATCTTAAACACTTTGGGAACTAGAGCCAACACACATTCAGTTGCAGCTGTGTGTGTGTGTACATGCATACAAACGCATATAATCAATCCGTTACTGATTTACCTTGGAGTAAACATCATTAAACTTGATGGGAATTACTTCAGAATGCATAGACTTACTTGTTCAATCTTTAAGGTGCCATAAGAGTTCTTGTTGTTTCTACTGTCCTTTAGATGCCAAATATTTCCATTTGCCATCTGGTTGACAAGGTTGCAGTAGCAGGAAGGAAACTTCTTTCTCAGACTGGCTCAGATGTGCATTCTCTCAAACCCAAACCATCATGCTCCTCTCTTTCTTCTCCAAGTTAGCCTGCCCTTTGCAGTTGTTGAATCAGATGTGCACTCAATCAGGCCTTCCAAAATCATCTGCTCAGAAGTGAGCCAGTTGGACTGGGTTTTGTTTCTTGTTTCCCTTCAGAAGCTTTCATAAACTTAACTGAGAGCATTAAGGCACCTGGTAAGGTTCCCTTGCTTCCTGGCATATATTGTCATACACAGTGGAAAACATGGGAAATGATTCTGCCTGAGAAAAGTGATGATGCGGCATGGTATATTTGTGTCCAAATCTCTGCTTAGCATGTGTGACCTATGCAGCCTGAACTCAGCCTAGACTTCTCTGCATTTGCAAAATGCAAAGTATTGGTTAATGGGAAGCGAAGTAATTTTATAGCATTGATTAGTAATCTCCAGTGCTGGGTTCTCCATCTGTAGAAGCTGTTTATTGTGACTCCTATTAAAGAGGAGGCTTTTAAATTATTTTCCAAATGCAATTCCCAATCAATACAATATTAAAACCAAGAACAGACCATACATTGAGCTGATTGATTCTTCTAAGGGGACTTTGAGGCAAGGCTTCTATCATGTAATCATCCTGTCTCACTCCAAGAATTTTATAGGAGTCCAGCCATCATTGTCTTCCACTTGAAATGCTCCTATGTTTTCCCATTGTTTCTTCAGTCCTTCCAAAAAATTTCTATTAAGGAGGAAAGGATGGGATAGCTTTTGAATGGTAACACTTGAAGCCCTCTGTCTGGATGTACTTTAATAAGGTAGAAACATCCCATCCCAGGAGCAGAACAGTTCTGTGAATCAAGTGCCATGCGAATATACGTCAAAAAGAGAATATACATTAGAACAGGATTTGGGTGTCCCATTTGTTCTTCAGGTGAGTTTAGGCTGGATAATGCATCTGTTCCCATCTAAGGTCTGTAGGCAATTTCTCTATCTGCAGAAACTACTATGTCAAAGGAAATATCACTGTTTCCTGCCATGTCAAAAGAAATACTGTTATTAGGAAAGGACAGAGCCGCTTGATGAAGAAAAACACATTCACCTGTAATTCATGTTCTAAATTTTCTCTGTCCTTTCTGAACCCTTTTCCCAGACTTCCTCCACCACATGTTCTGTTCTCTCAAAAAACTAGTTGAAATACATTTTCATGGAACTATGAAGTAGGAGCATAAGCATCCTGGGGTACAATCCCTTGTATATTTCGATAGGAAGCAGTCCTACAACCCCAGTATGGCTGTCTGGAACATTCTGGGAATTGTATTTGTAGGACTTTGTTCTGTCTTGCACAGGTTTGCAACTTCAGGAGACTAGAGCAGCTTTACCCCTCTTTCAAAGGTTCTTTGCTATTCTTTGATTACTTGTTTGATTATAACTAGCTCACCATGCACAAGCAGCTCCATGCTAAGTAAACCGTTCTCAACTATTCTTCACTGGAGAAAGAGTTCTGGAAGGTCTGGTTGCATGCACATCTGCACCTATAGGTGGGAAAGACATCTGAAAGATGGCATCATTTACAAGTGAGTAATTTCTCTATCCACCTCTTTCCCCGTGGAGCAGAACAGTCTGATGACTACAGCAGGGAGGGATTCTGAGAGAGGATGTTAGTCCTTTATCAGGATTATTTTAGGGAGGGCTGAATACTAGGGCTTCTCAACGGTATACCCAAGGCCAGGGTTATTTGGTCAAAACTGAGTGACAAGGGAATAAGGAGTCCTGAATTCATTTTCTAGCACTCCTTCCTTCTGAATGAATGCCATTTCAAGGGTAGGTAACATCTCTGAGTGATTCCTCCTCAGTTTCACCTGCACTATAATGGAGCAATGTTAACTTACCTGAGTCAGGGATTTTCTGTGGAGCCTTGATCCCCAATCTGCACAAAAGTAGCAATGGAGTACAACATTCACAAATGGTAAGAAACATGGTTGGTTGCATATGGAGGATATTACCTTTTCTAACCATAAAAAGTCTATATTAAACCGCTACTTAACAAAATGATGGTGATGTTCTGGTAGGCAAAATATGGTTTCGTGGAGGGAGGGGTGGGATTGATCTTTCACTGATGTTCCAGTACTGCTGTATTTTGAGATAAACTAAAAAGGAAGAAAATGCTATTTCTTCCCCAGCATGGACTAAGAAAAATATTTTTGCTTGTAGGAAGCACTTAGAAGGTTGTTAAACTATGAGTCAAACTCACTTGATAGACTCCTGCCTAGGGATTTAGGGAGGCAGCTCACTTTGCAACACGATAGCTGTTGAATATTGTGCAGCTGTTCCTGGACATGTTTAATGGCTCTTTCTGGACAGACTTTGCTTTTTAGTTTTTATATTTGCTGGTGCTTCCCAAACATCTCTCAAGAAATCTTGCCTCAAGGAAATATGGTTGATGTTACACATAACTAATTCTGTCAGTCCTTGCTGTAGGGGACATGACTGTTTGTATCTCAGAGTACCATTTCTGCAGGTAATAAAGGAAGGCATATGAGTGACATGTCATAACAATTTAATCTGGACACATGGCAGTTGATGCCTTAATATTGTTTTAGAAGGCAAGGGAATATTCAGTGTATTTGCATAAAAACACCATAAATGGATCAGATACTGTACCACTTAGGAATGCCTGAGCTTATGAATGATGTCCAAGATTTGTCCTAAAATAATGTGATCTTTTCTATAGGTGTTAAAACTACCTACATGGGTATTAAAACTAAAAACTACCAGTAATTTCTAAATTTATTTACATACAACAATTTGGTTTGGTAAAAATAATCTAGTATGTTTGATTTTTTTTTTTTTTTAGCATTACAAAATATTCCGTAAGACTTTGTAATAAAGTTATATAAATACTGTGAGGCTCTTTCCCCTTGTGGAGGCTTCTGTGAATGGAAAGTTGAGGGGCCAATTTGCATTGATTCCACCTTACCTCTGTGGCTTCCTGCACTCCCTTGAAACTTCCCCAGAGGGTTGGGAGACCCTGCGGAATAGCATGGCAGGTGCTGTGAGAACTGCAGGAGAAAGGAAGAAATGGCAGAAGTCATCTCCCTCTTGTTCTTGGAAGCCTCTGCTGGATCAAAGAGCCTTCCATGAATTGAAAAACCTTGTTAGGAGTAGAAAAGTAGATTTTTTGTTTGTTTTTGTTTTGTTTTGTTAAGGCTTATTTTTGTTCAATGCTTTTTTCTTGTTGCATTAAACTGAGTTATTTCTGGCTGAACTAATCTGAACCACAGCTTCTGTTTGGGAATATGTGAAAATAAATATATCATGATGTCAGCCTAGCCTGATAGTTGATAGTTGGTTGTTTTTGTGACAGAGAGAGCAGTATATATAAAACAACTCATGGTTGAATGTATGTATGTCTGGACATTGGCAACATTCAGATTTTTAATACAATGATTTGTACTAAATTATTACATTGTGTTTTGATCACAATATTGCCCTCGGCTGTCATTGGTCTGAACCAATCCTTTTGTGATTCAAAATTACCTGCTCCTTGAGATGGCTGCCTAGAACTGTTAAAAAATACGTTGAAATCACTATCTTGGAGTGAAAAAACAGCAGAGATCTCAAACCAGTGCCAGGGCTCACATTTCCTGAATCCTATACAAGAAGGGTGCAAGGCAGTGGCTAGAACAGAACTGAGGAGGGCAGATCGGGCAGTTATTGCTGGCTGCAATTTTACCATGCTAGGCAACACCAAGTGGATTTTTGCCCTGCACTGGTCTTACTTCCAGCAATGTAACAAAAAAGCCATGGACTTCATTCAGCAAGCCATGGAAGTACTACTGACTGGTTGGTGTGCATTGTTAGGTTTGGTGTGATGTTTGAGCACTTCAGAATAGGCCATTCTTTTTATGTCATGACTGAGCTTCATTTCCCTCCCTACGAAATGCCGAGGCTCTGTCCTTTGTATCCATGGAAGAGATGTGTTGAGCAAGAGTAGGAGAGAGGAAAACAACAGCAGGGAGGAAACACAACCAAGGCATGCTACAGTCAGTTGTGAGGACAGACAGACTTTATAGGGGTCAGCAAATAAAATTCCAGTGACTTGTTCTCTCAATGTAAAGAAAACTTGCATGCCTATTGCTGCTCTTCTGCAGTTCCCTGTTTAGGCCACAGCTCTTTCATGACAGGAAACAGAGAGAGCAACCTGCTGAGTCCTTATAAGTGTTGTAACATGCTGCTCTATTAGCAGATTTCATCTTTGTAACACACTGACAGTGTCTCAATCAGAGAGAGTCAAGTAATATTCAGCTTCAAATTAAGAGCACCCTGTGGCAAAGATGTGGTTCATGTCAGATGCTCTGAGAAAGCTTCTGCTAAGTTGAAAAAACTCCTCTACAACCTTGTCTTCTGTCTGATTTGGGAGAAGAAAACAACACAGCAACTGTTGTATTGCACCAGCTACATCCATACTTTTATTCTTGGACAGATTGGGAATGGGGCGGGGGAGGGAGAAATAGTGGTTTGTAAACAAAAAGGAAAATTTGCAATCCATAACTCCCCAGACAGCTTTGTCTAACTTCTATGGTAAGAGTGTGTGCTTGTGAGTGTGTGCGTGCACGTGTACATGGAGTGAGAGAGGGAGAGAGATTCATATCTATACCTATGATTTAATAACTGTGGATATGGACTGGACAGCAACTTTGATGGGAGGATGCAGAGAAGTGCCTACAATTCTAGGGCTATATTATATCTTATTTAGTAATTGCTTAGATAGCTATAAATATAGCTGCTTTATCATTTTCTGCCACATCCATGGGGTTTTGCCCTCATAAAGGACACCACTTTTATTATTGTTCTGGGCTTCTGTTCCTTTCCAGACTATCGCAGATGCAAGCCCCATGAAACGTTCTGCCTCAATGTTGGGCCACTCACGCTCCAAAGGCATGCGCCTGGAAGACTACTCTCTGGAAAGAGTAGTAATCCCAGAGGAAAACCAGCGACATCACCGGCGGCGAGAGCGGAGCCACCGGACATCAGAGCGCTCTCTCAGTCGATACACAGATGTGGACACAGGTTGGACTGTGGGACTGGTCTCCTAAAGCAGGGATGGAGAACCTGTGGGCCTCCATATCTTACTGTACTAAGTTTCCAACAATGTAACCATTGACAGTGCTGGCTGGGACTGATGGAAGTCGGGAGTCCAATAGCATTTGAAGGACCACAGTTTCCCTACCTGAGTTGTAGATGTTAATGCAGTCCTTTATTTACTCTAGCACAACTTCAGACAGTAAATTATAGGAGAGTTGCCTTAGAATTATAGTCACAAGTCAGAAGTTATAAGCAAAGATAATTAGGCAACAGTGTAAACAATACAATTGTATGTGCAAGTTTTCACTTTCCCACACAACAAGAAGTCTTACAGCACCTTAAAGACTAATGAATATATTATGGCGCAATGTTCAGTGAAGTGGGGACTAGTCCACCAAAGTTTGAGTCATATATATTTTAGCTGTTAAGGTGGTATGGGACTCTTTGCTGTTTTTGCTATAGCAAAACATCTATTTCTGTGGTGATCCTTTCTCATACAATTTGTTAAGGATAGAAAAGAAATCCAGCAACTCTCAGCAGGCCCCAGGCCTGCATGGTGGGAGTTGTAGGACTTCTTTCTGTCTTGCACCCTAAGCCTAATTGTGTTCTAAAACAAAACTTTGGTAATAGATTCTGAAGCACATAAGTTTCCATCATGTCTTACTAGCTCCGTGGAAGATCCAAGTCAAATGAAATGGATGATTCAGAAGATAGAGGGGCTCTAATATTCCCTTCTAGAATATGCTGGCTGAAAATCAGACTGTGGAAAAACATTGGCCAAATGAAACATGTGCATTGTGTATTGAGAGTGCAAAACTGCAGCAATTCTGCTCCATCTTCCAGAAGCCTCTTGTGTAACTGACCCCACCTAAGATTTGTGCAATGAGTTAAGGCGTGCTTCAAGGACCTTCCTTCTCTTTTTCCTTGTAGGCCTGTTCTCCAAACCGCAACTGAAAGGCTCTGTATGCATCCCAAAAATACCTTCTGAGGGCTTATGGGAAACCTGTGAAGGAACTTCTGGGAACCAAATTAGACATGACATGGGCGATCTATTAATAAGCTCATGTTAAAATGCAAATAGCAGTAATAGGTCTAACAGGAGTAGATCGAATTGCTACTGTAGCATGGTGGAAGAGGGGAGATCCCTTCCTTTTGCACTATTTTCCTGACTAAAGTCAATCCTTAGAAGCTGCTATTTGCCACACAGAGTAAAATTAATGTATCATATAGATATCTTATGTTTTAGGTGAATAGCACCTTTGAGGGAACAATTTTAATTAGGAAAATTGCATGGGTATTAAAAAAAAAAGTTGCTTCCCCTGGTGCTGTAGTTTTACATCTTCTCCCCAGTCCAGTTGTCTGCTATTAGCACTAGAAGTAACTGTGGGTGATAATATTCATAGATGGCCCATGTCAGTCTAGTCTGGCCCTAAGTGGCCACATGAGACTTGGAGAAGACAGATTAGAAAAGCAGTGTACCTGGTTTTTAGCATGCTGGGCACATATATTTGACAGCCTAAGCCAAATATTGCCTGCAATATTTCCTTGAGAATGTTATTCCCTGGTTGCATTAGACTACTGAAGGCTGGGTGTGTTGACAGGCTGCAACTTGGTATATGCATATTTGAAACCAAACTATTCAAGAACTGCTTTCCTCCTTCTCACTGGCAGGGCTGGGCACAGACCTCAGTATGACCACACAGTCGGGTGACCTACCTCCCAAAGAAAGAGACCAAGAGCGGGGCAGGCCAAAAGATCGGAAGCACCATCACCACCACCACCACCATCACCACCACCACACATCTTCTGACAAGGAGCGGTACTCACAAGAGAGGCACGAATATGGACGGCCTCGCTCCAGAGATCGCCGCTGGTCCCGCTCACCCAGTGAGGGCCGAGACCACATGCCTCACAGGCAGGTGGGTGTGGCTTTCCATTCCATGCTCTCCCCCTAGGGACACATGCTGGACCTGAGCACATCTGTGTTCTTAGGGAATTCAGGTCCAATCACTCTCCCAGTCAACAGTGTCTGGGTCTCTTTGATGGGAATTAATGGCCTGCTTAGCCCAAACAGGACTAGCAGGCTCTGTCAGTATGTTAGCTGCATATACTCAGACAGTTCAGGGGCATTCACATTACTAAGATAGTGTACTGAGGATATGGAATAAGCACATTTGTAAGATATTTCCTGAGATCCATCTAGCTCAGCATTTTGTCTTAAAACAGCAGCCAGCCAGATACTTCTGAAAGCTCACAAAGAGGATATGAAGGCAATAGCTGTCCTCTGTCACTCTTCTCCAACATCTGGTAATCCACATTACATTTTCCATGAACATGGAAACAGAGCTGGCCTTACAGTTAGGCAGAGTGAGGAGGCTGATGCTCAGGAACAGGAAGTGGTGGTGAGGTGTTCGAGGACAGACTTGTATAAGCTACACAGTGAACCCCGCACTTCATAAGCGGGCTTCAAGCGCAGTGTTGAAGTAAGAGTCTATTGCTAGCCCTTCTGAACATGTAATGTGTATGTGGGTGGGGCATCATTTTGTCCTTGGCTTCAAGCAGCAAAATGGCTTGAGCCTGCCCTGCATGGTTGTTCCATTTAGCTGTCATGAGAGATGGCTACTGACAGACTGATCCACCATGAATGTGTTAAATCTTTGTGTTTCTCCACTTTGCTCATCATTTTATACACTGCTATCACCCCCACTGTAGTAATCTTTTGTTTTCCTCATAAGGAATGTGCTTCAACACACTGGTTGTGTTAGTTGCCATTTTATTTACTTTTTCTATCTTTACGATAGGATTTTTAATGTAAGGACTTAATGACTATTCATAATATTTTAAATGGAACCATGAATGTATCAGAAGCATGTGGCATAATACATTTCAATATTTGTTTTATTTCTATTCTTTCCTAATTATTCCTAATATTGAGCTTGCCCTTCTCACCGCCCCAGCAAATGTTTTCAAAATTTTATTCCAGTGTAGTCACAGCCAATTTAAATCTCATCAGCATATTTCTGCAGTCGTGTTGCACTTAATTACAATGAATATAACAAACATGCAGTTGCACATTCATGTACTTTGGATGTACATTCATGTGGTTTGTTTTGAACACTTCACCATCTGGTTTTTACCATCTTAAATACTTTTGGTCTCAGCCACAAGTCCAGACCATGTGTGGGCAAATTAAGTAGCACTGGTCCCATGTGCTTCCTTGGATTATTTCCCTTCATAGTGAAAATTGTCCATTTATTCCTTCTTTGACTGACTTCTTTTTTTAAATCACTTCTGATCCATAAAAGAATCTACCCGTTGGTGAGGGACTTTAATCAACTTCTTTCCTCCAAGTCTCTTGGAACACCCCCATCTACATGTTTGGTAGACCAGACTTTTACTTTGTGGTAGTCACACTGATTCCTCCTTGGCAATGTTTTTTATATGTCTTAATAATATTCTTGGCCCAGGATAGAATAGACTGATATATCTGTGTGACTCGCTGGATCTTGCATTCTCTTCCTCATTCCTTTCTTTCTTTCTTTCTTTAATGTTACGTTACACTGGCTGACTTCCAGTTTATGATGGGATTTTCCTCTTTGTAAATCTAGTTCAAGAGAGTCAAGCTGTTTCCAAAACTCAGGGAAAATTTATTGGATTAATGAAAAATTGAGCTGACCCACCCTAGAGGTCCATGTCATATTAACTTTTTTTACTTACCTACGTGACATGGAATTGGAAAGCAAGGTTTATGTGGACCAGTGCTTTTTTTATAACAAAAAAGGTGCTGGAACTCAAGTCATGGGCAGTAAGCGCAACCACACACACTCACTATCGGATAGCAGATAGCAAACACAAAAGCAGCCTGCAGGCACTATGTTAATGATGTTTGCTGCTGATCTGCTTCAAAATCACTTCGTAAAATCCATTGGAAAAAAAGGTGCATTCGATGACAAAAAAAGCCCTGATGTGGACTCTGAATTCTGTCTGGCTATCTTTAAAAGGACTAAAAAAGTATCAGAGGATGGAGGTCTCTCTCTTCACTGGTTGCTATCTAATGAAACTGAAATTTAAAGACATGAGAGGATGCTCTGAGGAACATTCCAAAAAAGATTATAGATAAAAGATGGTTGTTCTATTAAGAATTACTCCATGTAGGCTCCCTGTATCAATTCTTCTTCAGCTAACCATACTTAAAAATCCCAGTAATTACAATTGTTCATACCTTTAATTTAGACTTGGCAAAAAGCTTTCCTTTGTCAAGACCCTATTATTTTGTTGTTATCATTCAGGGGCATTCACTTTGTGCATACACATTTATTCCTTCAGCAAAGAGGATGATTTTAAGGATAACTAATCAGCTTTGTTTTTAAAGTCAATTTTAGTTCATTTGCTACAAAGGACATTATTAGTGTAGTAGTGGTATCTGTTAGCAATTTGTTTTCCATTTTCTTTTTTCTTATTTTTAATTCACATGGATAACTGGCCAGTCGCCCCCGTCCCACATCAGTTGGGGAAGGCAAAGTTTTTAAGGGAAGGCATTATGTCCTTTATATCCTTCACTCTCTGTTTAGCCTGCAAACACTAAGCCATCACAAACTTGCTAAGTAAACCTGGTAAGTATGGATTAAGGTGAAAGTAGCATTTGTAAAGTAGAGCACCTTTCAATGCATGGCCAACTGTGTTCAGCCCACATCCTTGCCATGTCTTTTAGTTAGCAACCGATGAAAAGGTTTAGTTCACTTCTTTCAGGGGAGCCTTGCAGAGGTGTTCACACTACAAATTCATAGCTTGCTTCTCCTGATTGGCCATGGAGGCAAAAAAAAAGACCTTTATAAATGCATCTTTTATAGAGACTCTTATATAGAACACAGTATGTTTGAACTCATCAAGATGCAACAAAATTATTCTTAAAGCTGGAAATGGGAAGCTTGAACTGTTGAAAAATAAATGTGTGGAAATATCTTTAATAAGGAATCCAGGCACCTTCCCCACAATCAGACCTATAACTGGAAAACTAATCAGTAATTACACCTAGAATTTGGTGCAAACCATACTAGTGTTTCCTGGGCCATAACCCAGTCATAGTGTGCTAGGCAGCATCAGAGTGGGGACATGAAGGAGGTGCCTAGCGTCACCAGTGGATGGAGAAGCTGCTCCTTACGGTGTCAGCTGAATCCTTTCTCCAAACTTTCTCATCACAGAGAAGGGCAAATGAGGTAGGGCTGGGGAAGGGCTTCAGGAACAGGGCTACACCCCCACATGTCATCCAGTTCACCAGGCTGGTCTGGCAGGAGCAGTTTGGTCCCTGAACCAATCGTAGTTCAGCATCCCTGATCTAGGGGATTTGTGGCATAATTAGTGAACAGTGACATGCCTTGTCATTCCCTTCCACCACTGAATTACACTCTAATACTTACCAGTGTTCCCCATTGGAGATGTGTTACATATAGAAGAAACACACCCTAGTTCTTCTTTGTGCATACTATGCCATTTTTAAACTGCTGAAACTGTTCTTCAGAAGAGAATTGTTTTATTTTCATATTGCTCAAATTAATGTGCTTTTTTGCTGCAACAGCTCCCATGCAAGACTTGGTTTCTCAAGTAAGGCCATGTTATGCCACCGCTGAATACTTTTAAAAAATTGTGATAACATTCTTTAGAACCGGTGTCCTTCCCTATTGTATACCTAGTATTTTTTAACAGTAAAGAGCCTCCCTTTGTGCAAGACGGAGTATCTCACAGAAATGGCCCTTGTGGAAACGTTTTACAATTGCTATAATGTATTTGGGATGCATCTTGAGGCCCAATGAATGATGAACTCCATTCCTTCTGTAAGAGGGTCAGCTGACCTAAGAAAGGAAGACAGAGACATAGCAGCACATTTTATAGACAATTCCCCATAGAAGCATCACAGGGTACATCTACGTTATACCCAAATACTACACTCCTACAAATACCTTCAAGAATCCTGAAAACTGTAGTTCCCTAAGGATTTCAAGAGATGCCTGCTTCTAATACAGCTCCCAGAGATCTGTGCAGAGAGGAAACAACAGTTAAGGATGCAATCTTTTGCATGTCCTGTAACTCCCAGAATTCCCCATGTTGGTTGGAAAATGCTCACAGCTGTGGAACTTTTTTCTGTCTAAGCATGCAGAGAAATGTCCTAAATCTTTTTAAGACAGTGGTGAAGATGACATGTCAGTATAAACAACACTTTCCATTGCCGAGATTCGAAACGATAGGTGTGGTTAATGTTCCCACTGGATCAATATAAATGGACTCTATTTCCAGTAAATGGTGCAGAGGAACCTCTGGCATGTTGCTTCAAATGATTTTTTTCCTTTGCTCTCACCTCAGCAAGTGCTTAATTGAGAGATGCCTTCACTTTCGCCATACCACCTTTCCACCCTTCTTCTCAAAACCCCATGCCAGACAATTCATAGATCCAACACAGACTGGGAACCCAATCAGGCCTGGTTTTCATAGACCTGGTCTGGCATCACTAAGTTGCAATTGATGCAGTGCTCGCATTTCTAGAACCATTGCTTTGGAGTTGCAGCAATGCCAGAATTGCAAGCCTAGAGTCATTGTGTTGTCTCCCCTAAACATTGCATCCTGCAAAGGGCAAAGGAAAGCGCATCCAAACTCAAATGGAGTAGCTCCACCAGGTGCATTCTTGTTTACATTGCAGTAGTAGAGCCAAAGGAAGAATTGTGCCTTCCATTTTAATAGATGTCTAATGTTCTGATCAGAAATACTATAAGCTCCCAAGACAGGCATCCTGCTATAACATATACGAGCTCTGCTGCAGTTTTGTTGGGTGATTTTCAGGAATGAAACTGGAACAACTGGATAACAAATGCTCTTTTTAAGGTCTTGTATTCCATTATTTTAAGTGTAGCCCCTTCTGTATGCCACA